GGGTATCGATGGGAATGACAAGTGATTAGGCATAAAAAAGGAAACATCCAGTTCTTTCGTCTCTCACCCACATGTGAGTGGGAGTGGAATCACACCACTTAGCCTCAACAGTGCCAATCAAGCTCCTCACTCCTGTGAAAGAGCCGTATGTGCATGCATTCATACAAACATTGCCAGACTTTCATATTCAATGCCAAAAGTGCACTTTCTGAGCAGGTTCAGCTTTGGACTCATTCACAACCATGGCTAGAAGGTGTAATCCTGCTCTCAAGTCACTCATTTCCTGAAGGCACTATGGAGCAGCTCGTCTGGTCCACAGAGTCTCACTGTCTTAAGGCAGTGACAGGAAATGTACAGCTATGGCAAGAACTGGTTTGTAGAAAAAGGTCTGAAAGCTAGTTCATATGTTGGGTGAGGGGTGATATAAAAAGCAAATAACTTTAATCCTGTAATGTTTGGATGCAGCCATGGAATGGAATCTCACAAAACATTTCTTCTGCTTTTTGTTTCATCATACTGCTGTTCTAATTATTCTTATAATGATGACGTCTTTAGCAATCCCAATAATGCAAATGAAAAACAAAATTTCACAAACCTGTGAAAAAGTGGGTAAGGGTAACGAGAGAGGTTTTCTTAGCAGAACAGCCTTTTTCAATGCATTATCCATTACTGGATATATTTTATGGTGTGCATGAGCAATTGTTGCAGTGGGAATAACATAAAGTAGAGAGGTGTTGCTACTTAAGAAACCAGGGGTCAGAGAGAGATCTAGATAAGTGTAGCATATTTTTGGAGTGAGAAGTCTTAGAATTTGGAGGAAATGAGCGATTCATAGCTCCATCATTTGTGCTTTGTTCTGTTTTTAGGGAAGTTGGATGAAAATGGCATCCATCAGACATATATTTCTCAGGAATAAATCTGTGCAAACAGCATGAGCAGGGATACTCATCTTAGGACAGCCTTTTCCAACCTTGTGCTCTCCAGCTGCTTTCAGCTATAACTCCTGTCATTCCCATATCTCACATTTTGCTACGCTTACATGAAATCTCAATCCAGATGTATCCAACACTGAACTAGCTTTCCTTCTGTGCCTCCTCTTCTCAGTTGCATTGCCTCTTATTCATGCTTGTTAATTTTCTCAGATTAATCAAAGGACGGGGGCACCGATTCATTCTTCTCCATTCTTTATTATTATGGTTTCACATATATGTTTTGCTTAGAAACACTGAGTCTTCATTGCTGTCCATACTGTCTTTCCTGGGAACTAAGGCCAGATGTGCAATCTTCAAAAATGATCTTTCCTCATTAGTCCAATGAAAGATGCCTGCATTTCATTGGCACACTAGATAGCTAAAAACTGTGTACTTATAAGATTAGCATGTTAATTTGACTCACCTTTTTGCTTGCTGATAAAAGCCACATAGAACTCAAATCCATGTTATAATGTGCATATTTACAAAGATTAAGGTTGTTTGTTGACAAACATTTCCAAGCTTTTGGAAAGGATATTTCTGTAAGCATATTTCTGCATTTTGCCTCTGCAAAGGATGCTTTTCTCCACTCTTTTTGCTTTACCTTATGTCAGTGCTGGTAGCCACTGTTTCCTGGTGGAATGTTGTTCCAGTATCATATATTGCTTTGATTTCCTCTTCTTTGAGTGATTCCAATCAAATAGGGATCATGTACTGATGATGTCATTGATAGTAATGTAGTCTAGTTCCCTAAAGTTATAAAAAATCCTGGATTCTAACCTCTCCTGTAAGCAGATAAAATTTTACAAGATGTGTGGGACTTGTCAATTATCCCTACCCAGGATAGCTATGCAGAGTAATATCTCTCTCTTCATCAATTTTTAAATTATGCACTAATTTTCCAAATACAGAGAAGTAAACAAACACACAAAGAAAATTCCTTCAAGTTTAAATCTAGTTGATAATACAGAGGGTATTTCATTTAACATATTTTTTTTTCTCTATTTTTCATTCTGTATCTCTTTTGGGGGAAAAACATGGATAAGATCCACAGACAACTTGGAGATTTTCTTTATGGTTTTTCATAATTGCAGAATCATCTCTTTTTCATAACCTAGGAAATGCTTCCCTGGATATTGCTGCACATGTCTTTCATTTGTATATGAAATAAAACCATGCCATATTGTATAAAGGCAGATATTTTAACTCTGGTTTTCTCTAATTTAAGTCGATATAGCAATTTTCTGCTGTGGCTATTTACCAGAGATCTGAGACCTTACTTGTTCAAAGGTTTTCCAGCTTTTCACTATTATGCTATGAGATGCTTTATATATGAAAAGAACATGATTACTTTTTTACAATTATTTTTTCATTTTGATCTTTCTGTTTGTTAATTTAGAAGTTGCATGTCAATTGGTTAAGAGGGACAGGTATTGCATTGATGGTTACCTCATAGAAACAGGGGACTTGTATGTTCTTTGCCAGAAAGACATATTGAACTAGCATAAGATCTCCCATCTCCTTTACCTGCTCTTATAGAGCTGTTAGAACTTATAGTCACTTATCTTGGAGCCCTTAGGATACCAGCCCTTCTAAAGACATCCTAATATTTGGTGGTAAATGTCTCTGGGACAGCTGGAGCTGGCGCCAATGTGCTTTTTTTCTTGGGAGAGGGTGGGACTTCCTAATTCACTCTTAAGGCCTCTCCCACAGGGCATCTGGTGATAGATGGCCTTGGTCCTGAGGGAATAGATTCTAAAATCTTCTTCACCTACTTCTCTTTATCTTAGAATAGGGTGCCATGTCAAGGAAGGTACGTTAAAACTGCAAAAGATATCAGGACTCTTCCCCCTCCATTGGCTGAATTTCAGGTTGAAGAAGCTTGCTGGGGCTACATTGCAGGCAAGTGTAGCTGAGGACAATGTAGCCAAAGTAGCATATTTTAACATAATGTTCTCTCTGCCAGTAACCAAGTCATTTTAATACAAAATCTGGAAAGAGCGCTTGACAATTGGTAGTTAAAGGAAAAGAGATCAAGACATCAGTGGAAGGTAGTGTGGCCATATGCGGAACTCCAGAGCATGAGATTGGAATCTCAGGCAAGTTGGATTTGGAATATGGGCTGGAGTTTTGGCACTCCGGCCACGGAATATTTGTTGAAAGGAGAATATCTGCATAGTGGCAGATCATGGTTTTTACCACCACACCAAAATTTAGGCAGCAGTGTGGATAGGCAAAAAAATAATTAAAAGCAAGGGTGGGGAGTCATATTTTTGGGAACAGAAGGAGACTCAAAATACCTACCTTCTTATTGAATGTTTTATTTGAATACTTTGGTGATGCAGATATCATTTAAAGCAGATGTGGGGGTGGGGGCTTGTAGGAGTTTTCGGTCGAAACAAGCATAGGGTTCATTAATTTATTTAAAATATTTATATGCTGTCCTAATTGCAAAAAAGCCTCAGGACAGCTTACAATGTAATAGCATAAATAACATAAATAAAATTCCCGACCCACACTGGCTGCAATTAAAATCATAGAAAAAACAATATTAAAACGTATTAAAATACCGCTGGAATAAAAAGGTCTTAACCTGGCACCAAAAAACAAATAACGACGGTGCCAGGCGGCCCTCTCTGGGGAGTGCATTCCATAGATGGGGCACCACCATAGAGAAAGCCCTCCCCTGGGTACTTTGTCTCCTAATATCTTTCATGGAGGGTTCCCAGAGGAGAGCCTCTGCTGCTGATCTCAAGGGGCGGGAGGGCAAATATGGAAGAAGGCGTTCCTTCAGGTATCCAGGTCCCAAGCCGTTTAGGGCTTTATAGGTAATAACCAGCACCTTGAATTGAGCCCGGACTTTGATGGGAAGCCAGTGAAGCTGGTAGAGGACTGGGGTTATGTGAAAATAATGCCCAGTCCCCGTCAGCAACCTGGCTGCTCTGTTTTGCACCATCTGAAGTATCCAGACTGTCTTCAGGGGCAGCCTCACGTAGAGCGCATTACAGAAATCCAACCGGGAAGTAACCAATGCATGTGTCACTGTCGTTAGGCAGTCTTCCTCCAGGTAGGAGCACAGCTGATAGACTAGCCGAAGCTGAAGGAAAGCGCTCCTCACCACCGCAGTCACTTGAGCTTCCAAGGACAGCTCCGGGTCAAGGAGCACTCCCAAGCTGCATACCCTGTCCTTTAGAGGGAGTGCAACCCCATCCAGAGCAAGATCCAGGCCACCTACCCAGGAGCTTGATCCACCCACCAACAGGACCTCCGTCTTGTCTGGATTAAGTTTCATTGGCCCTCATCCAGCCCATTACCTCGGCCAGGCACCGGTTCAGTACAGTCACTGCCTCACCTGGATCAGTTGAAAGAGAGGGGTAGATCAGGGTGTCATCAGCATACTGATGATTTTGCAGCTCAAACCTCCTGATGACCTCCCCAGTGGTTTCATGTAGATATTAAATAGCAAGGGGGACAAGATGGAACCCTGCAGTACTCCATGGCATAACTGCCATGGTGCAGAGCCAAAGTCCCCCAGCACCACCTTCTGGAATCGGCTGTCGAGGTAGGAGCAGAACCACTGCCATAACCACTGGGTTATGCTTTAGTGGTTAGTGCTAATCAATGACGAGGTACAGCATCAAAGTAATGTTGAAGAGTGGAAGGAATTTCTTCAACAAATTCTGTTCATAAAGATTTCAATGGCTATTATGTTTTCTTTAGCCCAGTCTTAATGCTTGGCATAAACACATGTAAGTCCTTAGAAATGGTACTGGCTGATGTGTCACAGTGACTGCACAATATATTGTCAAAATGCCGGATTGGTTAGCTTATAGAATTTGCATTAAAATGCAATTTCCTTCCTTCAAAATAATATTTAGTGTATAATGTCACTAAATAATGTTCTGTTTGGCAGAAATTATAAGTGGTTTCACACATACAGATATGTTTATGCACTTTTTCTTCTTTAAAGCAGCACTCATTGATCTTGAACATTTTGACACATATGTATTCATATCAAATGACTGTGAATAAGATTACTTTATCTTTATTTCTTATTTAAGCTTAACGGAAATTTTGCAAAGTTGAATTGAATTGTATTGCCTCACTTTTTGCTATCCTTCTAATACCAGCAGGAAGATTATTCCATATGGTGGGCTCCTCCATGGAGTAGGCTGGGTGTCTCCTGGTTGTTGCAGGACTGTAATTTGCAGGCTGAGGCATGCACAGTGAGGTCTCCTCCATGACCTTTATGATAACACTCGTCTGTAATGAGAAAGCCGAACTGCCAGTTAGCCTAGTTCCAAGCTGTTCAGGTTTTCATATGTCAACAGCAAGACCTGGCATTTGGCTCATTAGCAAACAAGTTGCTAGTGCAGTAGTTTCAACACCACCACTTAGCATCTTGGCTGCTACTTTCTTCACCAGCTACAGATTCTGGGCCAAGCATGAAGGTAGCCTTGAATAAGGCACCTTGCAGTGATATAAAAATGAAGTGGGTTCAATAGTTGGATTAATTTATAAATACTCCCAACTTTCTGTTCTAAAACATGATTTTCTTGGCAACCTGAAATCAACATAAAAACAAAAATCAATAAAACAGCATAAAGCATATGTATAAAAAGGTTAAACAGGTGTGTGTGCATGAAATTTTAGAGTTATGTAATGGTGCATTTCTGGGAAAAAATCTAAATAATGATGTTAGCTGATTTAGAAACATGTGAAGAGAAAAAGCCAGCTACACCTTCTGTACCAACCACAAAGTGGATTTCTGAGAAGATGGACTTCTCCACCAAGCTGAGCTTGCCCTTTGTTCCCACTAGCCAACTTTTTGATGGAACTGTTGCACACAGTAGGAGCTTTTCCAAAGAAAGAATTGAATGGACAGTTTCATAGGGATAAAGGAAGTTCTTCTAGGGATCGAGGTTCCAAGCTTTTTAAAGTTCACAGGCAACCCTTAAAAAGGGGCCAGAAGCTTCTTGAAAGTCAAGAGGCTAATACAGTTTTGTGTAAAATGATCAAAGATCTAACCTATTGCAAAATAAGCAGAAGCTAATTATGTTATCATAACAGAAAGAGAGAACAACAATTAAAAACAAAGGAAGTCACTGCAAGGTGTGTGAATCTGTTAGTTTGGATTTCTGTTAATTTAAGTCTGGAAAGATGGGAATTCAAGTTCATCCTGGACTTTGAATTTTTTTAAAAAAAATCTTAAATTAGATTTATTCTGAACATTGATTAAAAGGTTGACATGAAAATGTATTATAGGTTTGCCTACCATTTTCCTAATCCTTGTATCCTTGTATGCAATTTTGCTTAATATTCACATTTTAAAAGACATTTTCCTAATAAAATTAATTTTATCATTATATTTAGTACTTTATGGATATCTAGGCACACCTTTTCTGAATATACAAATTTTTGGAGAAATCTGTTGCAAAATTTGGAAAAGTGCAAAATTCAAAGATAACCAAGCTTTGGGTCTCAGATTGTTTTAAATGGGTGCAATTAAGTAAACATACATTAAAATGTGAACCAAACAATTCTGACTGCAAGAATATACAAGTTAGCAACAAGAACATAATCAATCAGACATATCAGCATAAAGTGAGCTGTATATGCCTTGAAATACAACAGAAAATAACATAGTATAGACTTTGCATTTCAAGCTTAAAAAACAATGTGGTATTTTTGGCCTTTTTAAGTAATCAGGGCATGTTGGACTGTCAATGAACAAAATAACTGCTACAGATCTAACCAGGTAATCTTGCTTCACCCATGAACTGGTCTATAACTAGGTTCATAAATGCTTGATCCAGTATGGATGCAATTCTATGCAAATCTGGGCATGAAAAAGGCCTGCAATTCCCAGCAGTAGGGCATACTAGGAGTTGTAGGCCCTTTTTCCTTCTAAATTTGCATAAGTAAGTTTACATTCCACCTTCCTTTGACTTCAAGGAAACTGAATGTCATTTCTTGTTCCTGTTTTTCATATAGCACACAAGATAAAACAATCACTAATTTGAAGAAGCACACAACAGTTTCATCTCCTGCCATTTATAATATTGCACTTTGAAACTGAGTTCAGTTTTAAAGTAACTGGAGGTGTAGGACAGAGCTTGAACAATGGCATCTTCTCCCAGGAGAGGAGGAAAGGATTTCATTTTCAATATAGACACTCATTTTTATGAGATGTACTCATCAATAGTCATCTAATTTCTTCTAGACTACTGATTAATCCTCCTAGAGATCAAAACGATTGGCAACTTGGAATAGTTTCTCTCCCAGTGGAACAGAAGAGCCTGATAAAGGCAGTGGGGGAAGAAAAGAGATGACTTAACTGTCCTGGGGGATCAGAATACTAAGATTAGAAAAGATACGTAGGAGGAATAGAAATTCACATATGCCTGTTCAAGAAGAAATGAATGACATTTTCACTGTACCTTATTTCAGCCATTTGGTCTTATAGTATAGCTCTGAAGAATATCTCTGTATAAATGCCTATAAATCTGTTATTTGCTTCATATGTGCACTTGAGACTTATTCGGGCATCCAAATCCCCCATGTTATTGGAATTACTTAAGGGGGAGCAGGGATAAGCACTCTGCCTACGTTCCCATCACTGCTAGCCTTATCACAGTCTATGAGTGGGAGGATATTCTGTCATGGAAATTCTCTTCTGAAGAAAGGTAGTGATAAACTACATAACTCACATAATGTTCTGTGACCATAATTAAATAAATAACTAATATACTGTATAGTTTGAATCTTAGGTAAGCCAGGAATTGTTAGACAACCCAGAAATCAGGACCAAGAGTCAGAAAACAGAAGCCTATATCAAGTCAGAACTGAAAGAGAAACCAGGATGCAAAATCAAGGAAGGTGAAATGTTGATACCAGCGTAAGCACAGACAGGAGAAACTCAGAATTTGTTTCTCAAGCAAAGTTTAACAGGAATTGGAAGTTCCTTTATACTGTTTCTTGTCCAGTGGCCAACCTGGCTGAGCAGAGATAGACAAGAGCTTGCAAGTATTTAAGTCAAAAGCTTCGGTGGCAGCTGTGGTCCAAGTGGGGACTTCAAGGGTTGCAACTCTTTACTTCTGTTTTCTTAACAGATACCCTTTTGTTGCTTGTCTCACACAGCCATACTTTTTTTGATGCTGCAGTCGTTTGACAATTTGTCTCAGTTCCCCACCTGGATGTTTCTTAATTACCCACTTCCCAAAATGATCTTGTAGCTTTACCTCTCCTGTTCTCTCCTCTATTCCAACCACCTTTAGTTTTAACATCACCACCTTCCTTTTCCCTCACAATTGTTACTTGTCCACATTCCCTTTCCCTATTTTATTTAGTTTATGCCACAGATCCACTTACAGTTCATTGTCTCACTATACATGGCAGCTAGTTGTTCTCACCTCTAAAAAGCTCCTTAGAGAATACAGGTTTCATTCCTGGGTCCATGGTGAATTCTGTTGCCGGAGGAGAAAGCAAGATTTGTTTCCCTGTAGCTAATGCATGAAAAGACCATCACTGAATTATAAGAACTCTTGCGCCACAATGCTAAACTCTTCATAGTACTACATCATTTTTACTTGGAGTGGGCAGAAATGATAAACTGAAGAAGCCATTACTGCATCCCATAAGCACATAAGAGCCATGCTGGGTCGAACCAAAGGTCCATCTAGTTAATAATTCATTCACACAGTGGCCAACCAGCTGCCTGCAGAAAAACCACAATAAATAGCCCTCTTCTGCTTCTTTTGCCCAGCAAGTGCAGAAGGAGCATATAGCCACCAGGATGAGTAACAACTGGAAGCTTGATCATCCATGGATTTTTACACGCCCTTTAAAGACATCCAAATTAATGGTCATTGCTGCAACTTGCAGTAGCAAATTTCATGATTTTAACTGTGCAAATTGTGAAAACGTCTTTCCTTCTCTCTACCCTCCACCCAAATCGCCTAGCAATCAGCACTGTGGAATGACTCTGATATCTAGTATTATGAGAGACCGAGAAAAATCTAATTATGTACATCTTTGTCATGTCTCCCCTACTTGCTTTCCTCAATTAACCTAAGTAGTACTAGATATTGTGATCTTTCATCATGGCATTGCTCTCACAGCACCATGATCTTTTCAGTTGTTCAATAGCTTTCAAACTGCAGCACCTTCCTTTTCTGGAATTCTCTTTCCTGTGCATCCCATCAGGTTGCCAGGTAAGAGGTTTCTGGGAAAGCCACCACTGTGTTTTGAGAATTTTCTGGTCCCTGCACCAGTCCCCTCATAATTATCCAGCATGCTGGTTTACCATGATATAAAAGGCTCTGAGGATGCTGTTACTGAAATGCTGTCTTCCATGTTCTTGATGCCAGTATTCCTGATCCTCAAGACTGGTGTAAACTTCCTATACTTTTAAAGCACCTCCAGGGGCTGCAACCAGTGGGGAGAAAGGAAAGCCAAACTCCTACAGTTTTCTTTCCTTGCTTCTTGCTTTCTCCCATCTATTGGTATAAGGAGACTGGAAGGCTATCTCTCTATGTTGCTGAAGTGAGTAGATGGTGGAAAAAAAGGACTGTGAACCCACTTCCTTCTCTGAGCATGGATTTATTGGGTAATAGGTGGTACAAAGGTGTAACAGCTTCCCTGTACAAGATCCCACTTGTATATTGTATAATTTGGGGAAACTATTTTTAGTAGACCCTTGTCACAAATTTATATTCCAAATAAACCTCTATTTATCTCACAGAGGAAGTTAGGAAAGAAAATAGGAACCAGAATGAACAAGTTTACCTGAGGATTTCCCTGAAATTGTACTCAACTGCCCTGAATTCCCAGATCTGTCACTATATATGATGAAATGATAGAGGTGGACAAAAATGATAAATATTTGTCTTCTAATATAGGCCATGTTTTGCTTAGGAGAGGGCAGGGCAGGGAGCTGAGGGACCAATTGGAATCACTGCAACTCCATGGCTTGCTTCCTTCCTTCCTTCCTTCCTTCCTTCCTTCCTTCCTTCTCCATAGTGCATCCCTTCCTCAGCAAGATGTGCTTCCTTCCACACTAGCTATGAAGACAGGAGTGCAGCCATCAGAGGACCTCAGTGGTCAGACTGGAAAATTCTTGGTATCCCAAACTGTTTCCAAAGGATTTTTTTTTCCTTAGGAAACTGAACATGAGAATATGCTCATTTTTAGTGCTAAGTGAGAAATTCATTTCAGCTGGTTTTGAGCAGGACCTGTCTAATTTTCTAGTTTTCAGTGATGGTTGCACCAAACAAGTATGTTGAAAACCACACACACACTTTTGCTTAAGCTACTGAAATGCAAGACACACACATTTAAAAAAGTCCTCAATCGAATTTGTGTATGATCATAAACATGCATTTTTTAGTGAAAGCAGATTGTCATTTTTAACATTTGAGAAACATTGAAGAGGTCAAGTTTTGCAGAGTGACAAATCCCTAATTTTTATTTTAGAAATAAAACTGTTGTAAATGTTATTATGTGAAATGTTTTATGTTGCTTTTTAATTTTTTTCTCTTTTATTTTATTTTTGAACAGCTTGTTGAAAGGCAATACAAATATAGTATAATTTAAATACAGTGGAAAATTGAAGCATTTTCCTATTTTTCTGCAGAAGTACCTTTGCATATCTGTACAGATGCCATATTGCTGTTCCAGTTTTGTATTTTGCTTAGGTTTGAAAAAATATTTAGTGTAGGGTTTGAAAGAAATATGTTATCCAGAGTTGTTTTGGTTGATGCATTTTTCCTTTCTTCTGCTTTTATGAACTGCATGCCAACTTTAACAAATTACCTACTCAAAAAGAATCAGGACAATCTTGAGCACTCATACTTGCCACAAGCACACAACATTTTCTGCCTCTGTTGGTTTTGCTGCTTCCACTGTTAAAAGCACACTGAATACACATCCACTTTCCCATAGATATGAAGCTTGTGATTAAGACTGTGTTTCAAACTGTCTTTTGAAATCTGTACCAGGAGGACGCTATTCTGAGAAACTTTACAAATAAGATCTAATGGGTAGTGTTTGTTTCAAGAAAGAATGAAACTAACAGGTGTCACTTTAAACTATACATGCAAGAGAAATCATATATGTAATTGCCAATGCTAATTAATATCTTACATATTTGGATTTTTACCCAAGGCTCAAGAGGAGCTACAACATTTAGAAAAAGTGATCAACATAAAAAAAGACCTTGCATCATTCTTTGTAGACACTCAGGTGTTGGTTTTGGTTAAGTATGTGATCTGCCATATCTTTGGAGTAGGGTTAGGGCTAAAGAAATGTACAACAGATTCAATTGAGCTGAGTTTTCTATGATTCTGACCAACCAGTTCCATGGTGTATTGGCCTTTCTTGAGTTATATAGATTCTGTGGAATTGCAGACCATTTTTTAATTTTTTTGGAATTGTATGCAAATGTAGAGAAATGTTTAAAATAAAACAAAACCCTGACTGAAAATGTGATAAAACATGTGAATATGTAGTTTTGGGGAAATTCATGCATTTATATATTTATATTAGATTTTATCATTCATTTTTTTCCTTTTAAAGAACTCAGAGCTACTTATGCTCCTCCTCCTGCTCCCAATCTTATCCCTACAACAACAAGCCTATGAGGTAGGTTGGGCTGAAAGTCTATGATTCACCCAGTTGGCTCTATGGCTGAATGGGGACTAGAACCCAGATAACCTGAACACACTTAAAACTGGTTCATTTTGTGAGGATTTGCAATTTTTAGAAGTTCAAATTTGTGTGAGGGCAAACAAATACAGGTTTAGGAAATGGCAAAGAAATAGGATTCCAACAAGATGCAGACAATGGAATGACATTTACCTTAAAATCTAGAAAATGCAGATGGAACAGAATTAACCAAATCCAGACATCCCAGAAGTTTCTGGGAAATTCTGATATGAAGAAGGGATGACAAGAATGCTTGTCCATATGCATTTCCCATTCCTGTATGGCTATGACTTGGAGAAAAACAAGCAAATATTATTCTTTTCTGCCCACAGTTACTTATCTGATTTTACTTGGAAGTAGCTTCATCCAAATAATTATGTGCAACAGAGTTCTGGCCTGCTTAGCATTCAGATTGGAAGAACTGACTTTTATGAGACCTTGCACCCTCTGCCCAGGGGTGGATCGCTTTAGCTTAGTATTTAGTACTGCAGAACCATGCCATCTCAAATAACGTTGGGAACCACGCAGATCTGTGGAGGCTGTGCTATTGTTTATTTTTGGGTTGATGGTCAGGCTTCTATGTTTCATCCTTATTTTTCTTCAATGAATTCTGTCCCTTTTGGCTTAGGAATACAATAAGTTCCATTGGATATTTAGTAAAACCCATTGAATATTCCTTCCCTGTAGTTCTTCCCCATATGCCTCATATTCAACCTGACTGCCATGCGTAAGTATAAGGGTGCTTTTGTCCCAGCTGTGGCAATGTGGCAGAACAATATTGATGGCTCCCTAAGTAAAACAGTGGTATCAGGTATTACTGTAGCTGTGTAGTAGTAAGAAGTTATTTCTTATAACCACAGATCATAACACTACACACACCTAAATAAATGACTAACAAAATTGGTCAATGAAATTTTCTCTCTGATTTTAAAAGTCAACAGAGTAAAAATCACCAGCTGGTAGTTAACAGAAAGCAATGCATATGCCAGCAATAGTGCATACATTCCACTTCCATGAGCCCAAGAATTTAGCTATGAACTGGTCCAGTGTTTTGTCCCTGGCTGGCTTGGACATAATGTTTATTGCTTTCCACTTGTCTCCAACCACAGGGTAAAGATGCTGCTTCAAAGGGACTTTGCAGAATCTGCCCTCAAGATATGCTGAGGACATAGATTAAAACACAGACCTGTAATTGCTTTCCTTAACGGAGCATCTATTAGATTAAGTAACTACTATCAAACAAGAAAAATTGTTTCTTGCAGAAATTGAGGGCAACCCTATCTCCATTCTAAAGTGGGTGGCAGGGGTGCCCTGAGGGAGGCCCAAGGTTTTCCTTTAAAATTATTTCCAGATGGACAAGAGACTTTTTGTTCCAACTTGAATTTCCTATACCACACTAGCTGAGTAATCACTTTGCCCTGAAATATATTTTTTCATGGCAATATTTTAATTGCAGGCACCATTAATTAGTCTCCCTTACAGAAGAAAGATTTCAAAATTAACCCCCACCACATGATGGACAGTTAATGCTATATTAGATATCTAATACAGAACTTTTAAGAAAGAGATTTCTCTAACAAAACACCAAGGTATTTGAAGAAGTAGCATTGTTCTATTTGCTGAGCATTACTTGTCCATCTGTGCTTGGCTCTGTTCCTACTGTCTCCATGACAGTAGGACTTTGATTTAGTGGACAGCCACCCAGGATTCCTCACTCCCATCGCTGACTAGCCTATAATCTCTGGTCCTGGATTCTGGGCCAGACACTGGATTCATCACACAACAACCCAAGC